GGGGGGGGGGGCTTCGGTCAAGAAAGACTCAGAGGGTAAAATTAATGAAAATTCACCTGCGGTCTTACCTGTAAGAGCCTGTCATAGGGCTTTAAGCCACCGAGGTCTCCCGGCCCCGCGGGCGAATGTTTTTGACGTACACGCCCTTCTCCAGCAGGCCATCTGCCACGCTGAACCCGAAGTCCTCCATGTCCGAGCTCTTGTACAAGGTCACCTGGAACGGGAGAACGTGTGGCGGGACATTTTAGCCAGGTTGGAGGCTGGGCCTGTGAATCTCCTTGACCAACCATCTTTTCAAACTCATTTCAATCACATAATGGATTTGTAATACATGAGGCAGCTCCCCCCACCTTCCCTAGAATGTCCTTGGAATTTGTAAACTTCCAGCAGAACAGAAAAATAAGGAGGAGAAAAGCTGGAGAGGCCTGGCCTTCTTCTTCTTCTTTTTTTTTTTAATAGCAGTTCCCAGGTACATGTGAGACTTGGACCAGGGCAAGCTGACTTCTCTACTTTCCTGGACAGCCCTCCAGTGCGGGGAGCAGCCAGGGCGGCCCTCGGTCCTGCTGGACACCAGGACTGAGCCGAAGGCCCGTCCTTCCGGCCCCGCCCTGCCTGGGGCCCTGCTGGGTACCAGGCCCAGCGTTTCCTCCTCCTCTGAGCAAGTCTCGTGAAGTCCATCATTTTATTCGCTCTGGTGCCGCAATCATGACTCCAGTAATGTTGGTAAAGCAAGCAAACCAACAAAAACACCTACAAGTGCTCCTGTAACAAACCCCTTGCTCTGGGCCCGGCTTCAGCAGCTCCCTCTGTATGTGTGGAGGGCTGGGTGGAGCAGCTCAAGGCATTCCCCTTCTCAGCTGTGGGCCACAGCTGGTTCTCTCTACACCTGCGACCAGCTGCCGCCAGTTAAGTTCCCCCCAAGGCTCATCTCTCCACCTGACCATCTGCAAGAGTTAGCCTGAGGTCCCTCACTCATCCAATCAGGCCTACTTTCAGCAAATGGGGACTGAGTCCCCACCCTGTTCTGGGCACAGTTCTGGGCACAGGAAACAGCAGTGAACGAGAGAGAAGAGCCTGCCTCCCAGAGGCCCGTGTATTGTGCCCCAGCACAGTGCGGGGCCCTGCTGGGGGCGTGCTCAGCGCCTCACACTCATTTCACACTTAAAGGCGCCCACTGTTTGTCCTAAGGCTGCCAAATGCCCTCCGCAAAACCCTGTGCACACTTCAAGCCATGACTTGGGCTTACATTTTTACCCTCGTGGTTTAAAGACATGCCTTTTAGTTTACTTTCACACAAATGATATGGGGACGCATTCTTGTAGACGAGTAGAAAATTCAGAGCTGTAGAGAGCAAAACGTGAAGATGAAAACTTTTAGAGCAGGTTTATTTTTTTATACCCAGTCATTTTAGTTCAGAGAGGTAGGACACATGGAAGGAAGCAGGAAAGTGGCCAGTGTGCGGATTTTTATTTTACTGGACAGAGAGCTAAAGCACCTGCTGGCTGGGTCAGCATGATTCACCAGGCAGCCCTAGTGGTTACTGCCGTGTTGGAAGTGAGAAAATTCTATTTTAGAGAGGGTTAGTAACTTGCCCAAGATCACAAAGGTGACGGATGGTGGGGCTGAGTTTGTCTGACTACATACACGGAGCACTCCACTGTCGCGCAAAAGGCCTTATTTCATAGATTCCAAGAGGCACTACTTTTTTAAATATTTTAAAATCTCTGAAATCAGACTGTTTTATTATCAATGGCATCTTAGAGCCTGTGAAATAAGGCACGTGATATGTGCTGACACATCAGCATATACTAGTATATGGTTTTAAAATCTGAAATGGCCCGGTTTCTGTGGAAGGATCACTTCTGTGGCGTTCAGTTCCACAAAGACAGAGCAGCCAGCCCCGCTGTACAATATAGAAGACACTTGTGCGCCTGCGCGGGTGTGTGTGGTTTAGAAAATCCAGCCACCCCCCCCCCCTCCCCTTCCCCATCGGAATGCACCCTTTGATGTTTGGGGAGAAGTGCGTTAAAACTGAGTAAATGAGAGCATGCTCTTCCCCTCCCCCACCCCGCATCCCCAAAGCAAATCCCATCCGGAGTGGAGGAGACGATTTTCTTGGTGACTTGGGCTCAGGTGAAGTAGGGGAGGACGTGGAAGATGCCCTTTCAGGGAGCTTGAGAGGAGCAAGGACCTTTGGGATATTCACTTACATATCCCAAATCCCTAATCCGGTGCCTGCCACATAGGAGGGTTGGTATTTTTGTTGAATAAATTAAAAGATTGGTTCTGACAGTCAGTGCTGTCCACCGTAAGCTGGGAGTGTGAACTAGGCTGGGCCCCGACGAGGATCCAATGGCGCCACCTGGTGGTCACAGCAGGTGAGAGCACCTCTGACATTGAGCCAGGCCTGTCCCACAGGAGAGAGATGGATGGAAGGTTGAGCAGGAGATGCTGGACTTCTGGCTAATAAGGTCTGTGGGATTTGGTGAGCAGATTAAAAAGCAAACAGAATGCTACCGTCTCTACCAAGTTTGTGGAGCAGATCACATGGACAGGGAAAGGGAGGCTCAGAGAGGGTTAGAAACCTGCCCACAGTAAAACAGCAAGCAACAGAGTGGTTCTGACTGAGAAGTTCAGATCTCTCCATGGTACACTTCCTTAGTAAATGCTCATTTCAGAGAAGAATTTTTAAGCCCCTCTATAATCACGATTTGTCATAGGCCATAGGATAGGAGAGAAAGCTATTTTTAATTTTTTCCCAATTTTATCGAGGTATAATTGACGTACAGCTCTGTATAAGTTTGAGGTACACAGAATAATGAATTGACATAAACATATTGGGAAATAATTACCACAGTAAGTTTTGCTAGGAGAAAGCTATTTTTTAATGAAAAAAATGTCAAACATATTCAAGAGCAGAGAGAGTAGAACAATGAATCCCCACATACTCATCACTCAGACCCAACAACCATCAATAGCCCAACACACTTACTTCATCCACCCTTCTGTTTTCTTTTTGGGGGGTGGTATTTCAGGAAAATACCAGTCCTCATGCCATTTCACTCTTACATACCTCAGTATGAATAAAAATCATGAACTCTTCCTATGTAACCTCAATGCCACTAATTCATTTGCAAAATCAACTCTTACTCCTTGATATACTCCAATATCTAGTCCATAATACAATTTCTCTGTCTCAAAAGTGGTTTTTAGAGCTGGTTTGCTCAAATCTGAACAAGGTCCACACATTATGTTTGCTTTCAATCTCCCCCCCCCCCGCCCCCCCCACACACACTTAAAATACATTTCTATTGATTTCAGAGAGGAAGGGAGCGGGCATAGAAACATCAATGATGAGAGAGAATTATTTTTTAAATATATTTTATTGATTTTTTACAGTGAGGAAGGGAGAGGGATAGAGAGTTAGAAACATCAATGAAAGAGAAACATTGATCAGCTGCCTCCTGCATACTCCCTACTGGGAATGTGCTGGCAACCAAGGTACATGTCCTTGACCAGAATTGAACCTGGGACCTTTTAGTCCACAGGCTGATGCTCTATCCACTGAGCCAAACCAGTTAGGGCAGAGAGAGAATTATTGATCGGCTGTCTCCTGCATGCCCCCTACTGGGGATCGAGCCCACAACCTGGGCATGTGCCCTGACTGAGAATCGAACCATGACCTCCTGGTTCATAGGTCGATGCTTAACCACTGAGCCATACCAACTGGGCTCTATCTCTTAAATGTCCTTTTATCTAGAGTATGCCCCCATCTTGTTTTCTCTGTGCTGCTGACTTATTGTGGAAATGGTGTCATTTGTCATTAGTATGCTCTTTTATCCCCCGTATGTCCTCTAAATAGATGTGAGCACTGGATGCTTGATTGGAGTCAGAGGGGGAAGGGTATCCTATATAATAAAAGGCTAATATGCAAATCGACCAAACTGCGGAACAACCGAACAACGGAACAACTGGTTGCTATAATGTGCGCTGACCACCAGGGGGTGCACACTGAACGTGGCAGGCGTCAGCAGCAGGTGGCAGAGCGCAGAACATGGCGGGCATCGGCCAAGGCCAGATGGTGGAGCAGGTAAGCGGAGGTGCCAGACCAAGGCAGGGTGCCAGTCACTGTCATTCGGGCAAGCCTCTGGTGGTTACTGAAAATTCTTTGCTCCTGCATGCCACCATCCCGCCTGGCGCTCACACCCACTGCCAGCACCTGGCGCCGGCCCCGATCGATCACTTGGTGCCGTCAGCGGGTGCGAGCGGTGGCTGCCAGCCCCGATCGCCCCTCAGGTCTTATCCACCTCCCCCTGCTCCTGAGGGGCGATCGGGGCAGCAGTCCCCACTTGCACCTGCTGCTGGCACCAGCCCCAACCACTCTGTGCCATCAGCAGGGCCATTGCTGTCAGCAAGTGGGAGCAGTGGTGGCAGGAGCGGGAATGCTGGGAGACAGGGGACTGGGGGCCGCGGCAGAAGGGGCTGGGTTGGGGCACGGAGGATGGGCCAAGACCCACCCCTATCCCCACCTCAGCCTCGCAGCCCACAATTCCTTTCAAGGTGCACGAATTTGTGCACTGGGCCCCTAGTAAAGATATATTATCACAGATGGACAGTGTGCTTCCTATGACATCTTGTCACTCAATGTCTAGTCCACTAGACATTGGGTTCCAGTGATGACAGCTCAATTTCCCCACTGTAAGGCTCCCTATCAACTTTTAATCTAGTGGTTTTATCCACTGATGACCTTGCTCTGAATAAATACTTTCATTAGGGCTTGCAGGGTGATAATCTTTTTCTAATCCTATAATATCTTCTGTATTAGCTACAATTCTTTTGTAAAGAGGACTTCTCCTTTCTTCAATTAGTGCTATTTGATTACTCTGAAGTACAGAGTTTGTACAAGAACAGCAAAGGGAATGCTAATTCTTTCCTTTTGTTCTTAGAATAGGAAATTAGGGCACTAAATACTTCCAGTGGTGTCCCAGGGAGGGTTTTTTGGGAGGAGGAATGACTTTTGTTAAGTAAAATATCAATATAAACCTTTGATGATCAATTGTGTCATCGTTACTTTGGATGCTCAAATTATCTCATCTTTGACCAAGGAGAGTCCTTAATGTTGACTCCTATGTCCTTGTGATATGACCCATTTGTTATAACTTCTTGGCTTTCTAGCTCCAGCTGTCACAGACCCACTGTGGATATTTCCTGTTC